CATTGCCTCATTCACTTACACTTGTGATTTTGCCCAATGCATAAAATTCCCTACCTCGATGTGTACTGATTGGTAGCTTAATGAATACAACAACAAACACAGGATGCCAATGGTACCTTCAGATCTAAATGTGGACTCCATCGACGCACCGAGATAGCGCTAAGCACACCGGGCCCATCCTCAACTGAGGAATCGTTGTAAGACAAAGGTGAGAGTGACATATATATTAACTAAAATTATTGAATATCCAAGATAAGAGAAGAAGAAGTAAAGAGAACATACGTGGATGGCGTTGGAACTGGATCCTCTTCTCACCAATTTCAAACTGTACGTTGAGTTCTAGAAAATTTGAACCCAAAATTCGGAGTCATGGTCATCTGAGTGAACATCACATCCGTCAGTAGGCGGAACAAGGCCAGTGCCGTTGAGGAAGGAATGAGGATGGGACCCGATGTGCTCATCGCTATTTCGGTGCTCGCAACCCTTACGCCCTGCATGCTCAGTTGATACTCGCGGTCGGTGAAATCCACATTCGGATCTGAAGGCACCATTGACATCCCGTATTTGTTGTTGCATTCATGAAGCTACCATCATCGTCAGCACACGTCGAGGTAGGGAATTTTATTCATTCCGCAAAATCACAAATGTAAGTGGAGAGTCAATCGGGTTCTATTTTTATGAGTTATGCGGAAAGTAATTTGTGCACCATTGGGTCGAGCTAATGCTTGAGTTATTCCTACCACATTCCCACTTTGACAAAATATAGCCCCTTACTCACGTCGGACCGAGAAAACATACTAACCATACTTTTGTTCCCTTCGTCACCAACAAACTTGAATCTATCATCCGATGGAGAATTCAGACGAACGGTACCATGAGAATTAGCAATAAAAATATGAGCACCATGGAGAGAGAGTGAGGGAAAGAGCGGGTGGAAAAAGAATATGATGGTTGTGATTTGCAACCTACACAAACCCACAATTAAGTTGTATTTATAGGGTAAAAAAGCAAAAGATCCTTAATTATTAGGGTTTCACACCCACCTACCATACTATTAACATACTCTTTTTTGTTTTCTTCTTTAGTTATAAATGTACTCACATGGGTGTGGGACATGGACATTCCTTCTTTTTATTAATTGATTTGAAATTCCCCGCTCTAATTTCAAATATATATACATACATTTTATCTGTCAATATTAGAGGTGAGAAATCCAACTCACTATTCTTTTTATCAAAAATAAGTACGTTAAGCAGTCGAACTATACCCAGGTTTCGGATCCAAATATGTTACTATATGCTAAATTGTATGAATTCAACAAATTTATTTATGGGGCAAGTAATATATTTTTCTCATTAAATTGAAACATAAAAGCATTTTCAAACTCAATTAATAAAGTTTATTTTGACATTACCATATCACCATTTCGACAATTGTTTAACCTTTTGTCATAATAAAATTTGATTTAAGAAATTCAATACACGAAAATTAAAAAATGATAAAAACACGACTAATAACAAAATAAATAATTTTATATCATTAAATGACCTATTAGCTAACATGAGGCGTGAGGGTAAGGAACAATATCAGATTTATATAATTTTTTTGCTTCTTTGTTAATACAACACATTTTATAAAATATATATATATATATTTGTTATATGTGAAATCATAAGAGTAGATCATATAATTGTACGAGTTTTACAATTAATTGAATTTATGGCAAGTTATGATTGATTATACATTTTAAAAATCATTCATATTAATATATTATATTAAAAAGCATTATTAATAAAAAGAACTCATTTCTTTAGTTTTTTTTTTTTTTTTATAAATCATAATGTTCTCCATCCCCGCCATAACCTATTTGATCTCTACTCATAATTTGAGGAATATTATGATGTTCACATTATCATAGTCATAGCCAATTAACAGCTAACCAAGAAATTAAATTACCGCAAATTTCTATAAAGAAAAATACTTGGTTCCTTGAAGTTTAGGAGAAAATTCTTCTTTTTGAATTTTTGCATACTGTTCCACCTTAATTTTAAAGAGCTAATTGTCACGTCTCTTTGATGAAATCATACCCATACGCTTTAATTTAATTAGAGAAGAAAAGTTTGAGGCCTGAGCATGAGGATAAGGACGTAGGAAGTTTTATGGAAATTTCTTTTTGGAAGAAGACTAAAATATTCTTGTAATTGTTTGTAATTAATGATTTATAAGGGAGGGGAGGGAAGTTTGCTTAAATGTGTAGGACTTGCTTTATGAGTGTAGTAATGGGAGATTCCAATTTTGCAAATTCATAAACCACATCACGTGGTGGTTAGGTTGTCAATTTTACTTTCAATTTTTTCTTGTTTACTAATATGTATTTGAGAAGAGCATTGTGCTAAAGATTGTGAGTTCGAGATTATCCTCACTTCCCCACTAACAAACATATAAAACGGTGTCGTCCTACTAATACCCAATTAAACTAAGTGAAAGAAATTAAATAAGCTAAAACGTTGTGATCATTTCTACCAACTTGGTATTTACTGAAACCACGTTGTACTTGTAACATTATTGTGTAGTGTGTTTGAGTGGTTGTTTGGTTACTTTCTATAAAAATCATACTTCACCAAAACCCACGTAATCTTGTCTTGCCATCTGTGGATAAAACTTGTAGTAGGAATAGCCTACACCAGCTCAAGCTTTACCTGGACCCAATGTGAACCGTACGTGCTCAAATGTTTCGAGCAAATGCCGTTGGACCCAGTG